ATGTCTACTAGTTGCTAGGCACTGTGCTAAGTTCTAGAGTTACAGATGTGAAAAAAAGACAGTCCCTGTCTTTAAGGAGCTTGCAATCTAATGCAAAAATACAACCCACACAACGAAGCAATCCAAAGGAGTGCAGCCAGGTGGGAAATGAGATGAAACTTAATAGAAATATATAGAAACTCCTGTACTTGTCTACAGAATAATGCATGTGAAGAAAATCCGTGAATATTCTAGACTGAATGCTCAACATGAGTCAATATTCTGATATACCAGCTCCCTTCCTTTTCTCCCCATCCAAACAGCAAAGAACTCCTGCTGTTATAAACTGCCTTGACAGAAATAATGAACAAAATGGCGGCAGTGATAGTTTTGATATCCTCTTTCATAGTCTACATATGTAGAGTATTATATTCAGTCCTGGGTGTTCCAAGTTAGAAAGGTCACTGACAAGTTAGACAGCATCTAAGGAAGAGTACCTAGGATGAGAAGGGAATTAGCAATACATTAGCATTAACTGAAAGGTTGGAGAATGGATAGCCTGAAGAAGAGAAGATGGAGAGGGCTATGCTAGCTGTCTTCCAAAATTTGAAAGGCTTTCCTAATGGACAAAGGATTGGACATGCTTGCCTTGGCTGAAGAAAGGAGACTAGGGAATAATGGATAGAATTTTGTGTTTGTTATAAGGAAAAATTTATTAAAAATTAGAACTATCCAAAAATAGAATGTCTGCCTTAAGGAAGAGTGGGTTCTCCCTCCTTGAAGTTCTTCGGTAGAGACTGAATGACTACTTGTCAGCAGTGTGGTAGAGAGGACCCTTCATGAAGTTGATGTTGGAGAAGACAGTTTCTGACATCATTACAACTCTGAGATCTTCTTTGATTCTGAAAGTACCCACTGGGCATTGATCAGGGAACCACCACACATTGAGTTGTCAGTAACTATAAACACCTGGTGGGGTACCGAGTTCTTTGCACAGTTCTTTCCTCCTCTGATGCTTTCAACATATTCCTGGGAAAGGCAACTGAGGGGAAAAAGAAATGGGAATTACTGGTTAAACCAATCTCCCTTGAAATGTTCACTCTTCCACAATGCCTTCCAAGGTTAAGCAGAGAAAAACTAACTAATAGCGTTTCTTTGTCCTATATAGTTGGGACATCAGTGTTCAGTGGCTACTTTCCTTAAAGGTATCTCAATTATATTCTTATCTTTTCTTTATACCTATGGTATACACATGACATAAATACTCTACTGCCCATTCATATTTATAATTTAGAGCAGGTCCACTAATACTATTGCAGGTACATACCAGTGGCTATTCTGAATTATAGCTCCCAGGATCAGGAGCTGGGTAGACGAAATACCCATTTGTAGAACTTTCTTGATAATCTCTAAGTTAAGTGACCTTTAGATTATCTAAATCTTTAGGTTTAGATCGTTAGGAAAACCAACTTAAACTTGAAAGATTTTCTCTCTTTATCCCTAAATTTGGAGGTCATGAAAGTATAATCTTCTTTAAAAATAATTGTATTTTCCCCCAATTACATGTAAAATCAATTTTAACATTCTTTTTGCTTTGGTTTTTTTTTCAAATTTTGGGTTTTTAATTCACTCCCTCCCTCCCTTCCCCAAGTCTCCCCCTCCCCCATCGAGAAGGCAAGCAATTTGGCATAGGTTATAATGTATCGTCATGCAAAACACATTTCCATGTAAGTCATTATGTGAAAGAAAACAGAGACCAGAAAAAAAAAACCCCAAGAAAAATAAAGAGAAACTATGCTTCAATCTCATGCAAAGATAAAAGATTTGGGATCACAGTGGTGGTGAGCAGCAGTGATGATATTAGGTAATTATTCTAGAGCAAAGAAGGGAAGGTGAGTCATCAGGGATAGGGAAGCTTCAGCCAACTACCAGACAATGTCACAACATTGAAACTCTGGTTGTCAAATTTCCAAGCTTGTGAGGGGCTCATGGTCTTTACAGACTGTTTCTCTAGACTTCTCCCAGCACACCCTTTTCCCTAAAGGCATTTATCTGCCTAGCAACTGTGACCCACCTTCCCTTCATTGCTCTGGAATACTTACCCAATATCTTTGCTATTGCCCACTCCAACCCTTACCTCCCTATTTCCCCACTTGCCCCCACTACCACCACCATTGTCATCCAAAATCTTTTAAGAATATATTTGTGTGGCCTTCAAATTCAGAAATAAAGAGAGAAATTTTTTCAAGTTAAAGTTGTTTTTCCAAACAAAATAATCTGCCGGAAACTGTGATGTCACTGTGATCTGGAAAATGCAAAGAGGAAACCATAAGGATAATACCAAAGGATCTTGGATCTTCTTACACCTTCCTAAAGGTTCAGGAGTATGGTCTCACTCTGTCCTCAAGGCCTAGGTTTTTTCCTCTGAAAAATACAGGAAACCTTAAAACATGATCCATTTTTGGGTTTAAAATCTTCTGGGGTCTAATGAGATATACTGATATCTTCTGTCAGTAATGATATTAATTGCTAGCTCTGTGCATGTAAAACTGTAATCACCACCCTATTGTTTCTCTGGAAATTATGTTGATTTTACTTGGCAAGACTATTTGGGCAAAAAGATCATAAATCCATACCTATTATTATTATTTGATTTTATTTTTAAAGAGACAATTTCATTTTTCCAAAATTGTCAGACTTGAGCCAAAGTAGACTTCAGAAAAGAGTGGAATTATACTTGCTTAGGGAACCACCTACAAACTCTGGTCCAACTAACTGGGAAAGGTTTCATGTACAGGTGTGCCAACATTATGTATGTTTGTTTTCCATGATCCAGCCTAGTAATCTTCAGAGAAGATCACCCACAAGTTGGTTACAGGAGGATGGTGAGGGTTTTTTGTCCACAAGAATTCTCACAGCCTATCCATTGGATCACAGATGGAATGAGACCTGCATTTGTGGAGTAAAGGAAGGCCCACACATACATAAGTTCTAGCATCCTTGAAGTATTGATATATATATTAAGTCATCTTATATGGGAGCCAAGGGAAGGGTAGTAGAAACCTACATCTTCCAATGGCCAAGCCATTCTTTTAATTTTGAGAGGTGAATCAGCTTAGAATTTTATGTGCCAGGCAAACGGGACCATTGCCTGTTTTTTTGAAGTTGCCATGCACCTGCTACCTTTATGTTTTAGAGCAAGTCATCCCTCATGCTGGGTACTCCTGCCCCATTCTCAGTTTCCAGATTCTTTTTCTTCCTTCAAGACTCATTTCAAGTGCTATCTCCTACATGAACTCTTCCCCAATTTCTCTGTCTAAAAGTGATCTCTCATTTACCCCCCATTACATCCTATTTTTGTGATCCTTATTGCTGCACATATTATATCTTCTCTCTTTACAACCTTTCCCTCACCAATATACCTAGTCACCTTCAAGTGACTGGGACCTTTTAGAAAGTAGGGATAATCTTATTATTATTAGTATTTTTTGTCTTTAATCCTCAGCTCCAAATATTGCTTCTAGCACATATTTATTGTGGTTATTTTTAAATGACCCCAAATATGTTGGAAAGGATAAGATATGAACTCTCCTTTCCTTTAGTGTCTTCTTCAGATATTAAAGTCTGTTCTGTTCTTTCATTTTTGGTTCAAGTTCTTTCTGCTTCCTAAAGCTTTTTCCAATGACTCTAGATCAAAGTTATCTTTCTCTGCATACCCATGACATATAGAATCTATACTGTAGAATTCAACATCATTATTGATGTATCATTTACTACTTACTTTTCTTAATCTTGTTCCCCCAACTCAGTTGCAAGCTTCTTTTATTTATTTATTTATTTGTCATTACTTTTTATTTTTTAAATTTTATTAATTTATTGTGATTTATCAACAATCACTTCCTTATCCTTCTGAGTTGAAAATTTTTCTCCCCTTCCCTCCCTCCCACCCTCCCAAGAGGGGGCACAATCTGATATAGGCTTTACATTTACATACCCATTAAACATATTTTCACATTAGTGAAGTTGTAAGTAAAAATTAAAACCAGTAGAAGGAACCATCAGAAAGATGAAGCAAAACTGAACAGAAGGTAAAAATAAGTGATAGCAATTCGACTTGCATAGTTCTTTCTTTGGATGTGGACAGCATTTTCCATCCCGAGGCCTCTGGAGATGTCTTAGATCCTCGTAATGCTGAGAAGGGTTCAGTTTAACATATTAGTCATTTCATAACGTGGCTGTTATTGTGTACAAAGTCTTCTTGGTTCTGCTTACTTCACTGAGCATCAGGCCATATAAGTCTTTCCAGGTTTTTCTGAAGTCAGCCTGTTCATCATTTCTTATAGCACAATAATATTCCATTACATTCATATACCACAACTTGCTCAGCCATTCCCCAATTGATGGGCATCCCCTCAATTTCCAATTGTCTGCCACCATAAAAAGAGCTGCTATGAATATTTTTGTACATGTGGGTCCTTGTCCTATTTGTTTGTTCTCCTTTGGATATACCCTAGAAGTGGTATTGGTGGATCAAAGGGTATGCACATTTTTGTAGCCCTTTGGGCATAGTTCCAAATTGTTCTCCACAATGGTTGGATCAGTTCACAACTCCACCAACAATGTATTAGTGTTCCAATTTTCCCACATCTTCTACACCAGTGGCTAATGTGTTCAAGTCAGAACTTGAACCCAGACCCTTGTGATTTCTCAGGCAGCCACATACTCAACACACAATGTTGCCTGTCACAGATATTGTACTCTGAGTAATTACTTGGCCACAGATTTTATTGCTAATGTAAAACAATTTGTTCTGTGTGGGGGGTCACAATTCCTTTGTATAGAACTTCAAAGTTTAGAGAGATTACTAAGGAATTCTGTCCGAATACTGATTGAAAGAAGATGGCCACTCTTCATTGGAGAGGGTTCCAAAAAGTGTAGAATGTTAGAGTAAGCTCTATGCTTACCCAGCCTATCAGTATCAGAAAAAAGTAGGTATGCTAGAGTCAAGGACTGGAATGAGATAAGATGCAACACAAAACATGAAAGCCTTTATTTAGATCCAATGTCTCCACTTGTGGTTAATAGCTGTAGTGCTCTCCATTTTTTGTAGTTGCAAGAGGATTAGATCAGAGCAAAGGGGCCATGGAGGACGCAGCTTAGTTTTTTGCAATGGTCTCCTCAATCCAACTCACATAGTTGCAGACTTTGGTGTAGACACCAGGTTTGTTTTTAAGGGCACAGCCATAACCCCAGGAGACAATTCCTTGGAGTTCTCCATTACAGACCACAGGGCCACCAGAGTCACCCTGGAATTGGAAAATAGAATGGGTCAGAGTTTTCCTTCCATGCATCACAGGGAATAGAGCTCAGAGCCAGACATATTGCCCAGGCAGGTCCAGAATACACATTTAGTTTGACATTAGTTCCTGAATAATGTTTTCCAGGGAATCTAGCCTTCTCTTTATTTCCCCTTTCCCTTCCCACTTCAATGTCTTCTAGCTCCTCCTCCTCATCTTGTATGTGCCCTCAGGAAGCAGAACAAAGCTGGAGAATATAGGTGAGTTTGGCTTCAAGGTCGTTTTGCCCATCCTGTCTTTTTTCTCCAAAGTGTCCCATCTACAACAGCCCTCCCTAAAGTGCCTGCATTAGTGCAAGAACAATGTCTGTGTTATCTTTGATCACTACAATCATACAGCTATTTTAGAAGGAAAATATTTGGTGTCCCCAGTCCTCAAGGCATCTTCCCATCTCACTCCATCCAGGAGCTCAAACTCGAGAAGGTTTTTCAGTTCCAAGTCTCCTAGATTAGTTGAAATATGGGAAAGAGGGAAACCGTGGCTCTGAACTGAGTGGAGAGGGAGTGAGTGGAACAGAAACTGACCTGGCAGGAATCCTTTCCACCCTCTAGATAGCCCACGCAGATCATGTTGCTGGTGATCTGTCCAGGGTAGGCACTACTGCAGCTGCTGTCAGAAAGCACGGGAGCCACCAAACACTGAAGCAGATCTGGGTAGTCAGCTGTTTGGAACAAAGATGACCAAGATGGTATGTTCTCTGTGGTGTCCTTGGAAAGCCTTCAACTGACAGGTTTTCTCTGCCTTCTCTGGCACTTTTTAAGATCTTTCAATGTGAGAAAATGACTGATTCAACCTTGACTGTTGCTGGTCTCGGATCATATGGGCATGAGCAACAAGGAGTTTGATAGGTTCTGGTAACCCTAAGACCCTTAACGGTACCAGCTCCGGGAAGAGGTTATGGCCCTAAGAAGACAGCATCATTTAAGTTCCTACCTCCCCCCTCCATGTCTAGGACCAATCAGTCGAATATCAAGGGAACTCTTTAACCCTCCTCCTGGTATCCTTGCTCTTGCTAACGTTCATTTGCATGGTACCACCCTAAATCTTTTCCACCTTTCTGGCTCTTCTATCTAGCCCTCATGCAATTCACTGCAACCCAGTAGGTAATCCTGGAAATGGGAGGTATTTTTGTGTGGAGGCAGGGAGGTAAGAGTTGGACTTTTTGACTTCTAATGCTCTTTTTGTGTTCCATGAATCACTCACCTCCAGAACTCACAGTGTTGCCCCAGCCAGAGATGAGACATGAAGTGCCAGAAGCAGCACAGGCTTGGGGTAGAGAGACGGTAGACACTGCAGAGTTGAGTGTGGCAGCTTTTTCCAGCTTAATCAACATGATGTCATTGTTGAGGCTGTTAGAATTGTAGTTCGGGTGGCGGATGGTTTTAGCTGAGTTAATGAACTGCTCACTGCCTTCAACGACCTCAATGTTGTGCTCTCCCAGCCTCACCTGGATTCGGCTGGATGGACAAAGAAGAGCCCTTAAGCAATCTGATTCCCAGATTTTTCCTTCTATATCTCACCACAGTCAGGTAACCACTTCCTCTCCATTCAAATTGATCCCATTCTCTCTCTTTTCCATATGTCAACTACATTCCTTTCATTGCTTATTCCTGCCAGTGTAAGTCACATTTAGCCAGGTAGTTCCCCTGTCAAATATAGTGGAAGTACTACCACCTCTTTCCCTAGGGGAAGTCCTGCCCTCACACTTTCCTTCCCCAAACAGTTACCCAGTCAGAATGCTTAACCAAGGGGGTGTGCATCAGGAATATGTAGGCAAAGAGAGGGGACAGGGGAGAGAGGAGAGGGGAGAGGGGGGACAGGGGAGAGACAAAGAGAGGCAGGGAGAGGGGAGAGACAGAGAGAGAGAGAGAGCCCTGAAAATTACCAACCAAGGGTGCATCACTCTTCTAAATTCTCCTAAATTCACCATGATCCACCCTCTTTTCCATAGAGACTTTAATACCTGAATTGAGAATGGGGGCTACGGTATTATCTTTATATTCAGCTTTCTATTCTTCTCCCACAAACACAATAACAGACAACACTAATATACTATCCACTGAATATTTCCTGGGAAATCCCAAGGATTTAACATTTGTTTTTTATTTAAGCTGAGAGCCAAGCAGGGCGGATCAAGGAGGCAATTATACTTGTTTAGTTTTTCTCGTTCATATGGGCAATTTCATCTGCCTCTACTGCCCACAGGCTTTGAGATTCTTATAGGTAGATGCTGCTTTTTCTTTGCTCCTTTGATCTTTACCTCTCACTCAGGCATGCAGGCACACCCGCACACATGCACACAGATACATACACAGGCGCACACACACACGCGCACACACACACACACAAACACACACACACATACATTCCATTGATAGCTACTTTAGCTTTGGAAAACATGTACCCTTGAATAAACCCCCCACTTTACCTACCTATCCTACCTGAAGATTCTTTGGAGATTTCCCAGCCCTGAATGGAATTTGTGGGCTTGGCCTTAGCACTGAGCTTGCCCTAGATGTGAGTATTAGTTACTTACGACTTGTAGCAATGAGCAGCTGATACCACCCACTGTGCACTGATGAGAGAACCACCACAGAAATGGTAGCCAGAGTTCAGAGACACCTGGTAGGGGAGGGAGTTAGCAGCACACGTGTAGCCTCCAACAATCTTGTCATCATCATCACTAGTGGGGTAAGCAACTAGGGAACGAAAGAGATAGGAATTTCCAGTTCAACAGGACCTCCTGAAATTTCAGCTCTTCTAGAAAGTCTTGAATATTAATCAGAGAAAAACTGACAACATTTCTTTTCCCCTAGAGTAGTAGTATAGTATAGTGTAAAGAACATTGAGTTTGTAACCAGAAGACCCAGTTTCACATCTAATGCTTTTACCCTGTGTGACCAAGGTCAAGTCACTTTATATTCCTGGGCCCCAGTTTCCTAATTTGCAATATTAGAGACTCTGTGATAACTTTTAGACTTTAAATCTGTGATCCAGACACAACTTCAACAAGGCAATCTCTTGCCTATTTTCCAAAAGCACTTTTACTCAGATACTTATTTAATACTCACAAGCGCTATACCACATTCATGACCTAAAGATAACTATCATTCATGTTCATCATTTTGCCAAGACCCACTGAAGCAGAGCCATGTGGATATGTAACAGATCCATGACCCTTCCTGAATAAAGGGACTTGGTAGACAGATTTATCTTTTGGAAGACCTCAGCATAGAAGCCATGCAAATAAGTTCTTGATAAAAACCTTTTCTGAAAAAGATGACAGGTGTCTAAGGAGACATTATGATTTCTCCTTTGATAAACTATACTCTATACATATACCCCTGCTACCTATTCTTAAAGGTCAGTTCAAGTTGGAGTCTTTACCAAGTATTCTACAGAGGCTACGTTCATCTCCTGCTTTGGTACAGCAGCAATAGCTTGAGTCACATGAGTTGCCTTTTAGTCACATTCTGTCTTCCAATCTTTCCTTTTATTTCCCTGGATTGGTGTTGTTTCTTCAGTTAGATTATTACTTTTGAAGGCAAAGATTTTGAATTACTCATTTCTTTCCTTACAGTATCAGGGACAATGAGAAAACTCAATAAGCATTGTTGATTGGACAAGAGAAACTTACCAGCAGCCCCTAAGAGGGTAAGGAAGATGATGACCTTCATGGTTGTCCTAGGGATCTAGGCAAGAAAATGGAATCCAGGGTTTTCAACCATTGCTATTTATCCCTTCAGACTTGGCAAGACTTCCAGAGAACCAGAAGAGTGACTCAATGGAAAATTCAGAAATCCAAATTTAGAATTTCATTTTCCCTAGTTTGGAAGATAATCAAACATTGAAATTATTTGATAACCCCTTTGTCCATTGCTGAGAAAGTTCCAGGAATATCTACCTGGGTCAGGTTTCCTCACATAGCAGAAAATTCAGATTAGGTCACAAGGTAGAGCCCCAGGTGTCCTTCATCCCATACAAAACTGTTAACAGTTTGAACACCTCAATCCTTTACCTTTGATTCTAAGTGGTCCTATGACTCATATGCCTTCTTTAAAGAACCTCTCCCACACTATCTTCAGTTATATGCATCTGCACATAGGCTCTATTTGGTGTGATATTATGGATCTATGTATACATGTATGTGTACATATTTTCAACTTAAGAGCCATGGGATTTTGTCAATATGGGTATTTCTTCCAGAGACTGGAACTCTATGATAATTTAATAGGGAAATGCTAACAATTTATCTGGATTTTTAGCAGTATGTTGGATAAAATATCTCATGTTTTCTGTGTATGTGTGGAAAAAGGAGTTACATGATGTAGATAATGCTATATTTAAATTGCTTTAGAAGTGAGAGAATAGCTAAACTCAAAGAATAGTCAGTAATGGTTCATTGTCAGTTGAGAAAGAGGTCATCAGTGGAGTGGTCAAAGAATCTGTGCTTGGCCATGTGTTATTTAATTTTTTTTATTAATTACTTAGATAGAAACATCAATATGCATATAAAATCTGCAGAGAAGATAGAACTGAGGAGGATCTTTAACACTGGATGATGCAGTTAATAATTTTGACAAGCTCAAACATTGGCTAAATCAAAGTTTCATAATTAGGTTAAAACACATTACTACAAAGGTACCAAAGGAATAGAGTACAGAAGTTAGACGGAAGTCTGCAGGAAGAGGACCTAGAGGTTTAAGTTTAGTGAATGAGTCAACAGTATGATATTCCAGCCAGAAAAGCAAACCAAATGAAATCAGAAGAAACAAAGCAAAACAAAATAACAACAAGAAACCACTCAATCTTACCTTCCATTTAGAAAGACATAGCTTCTATGCATAAGGAAATGACTTTTCTCTTATATTATGTCCTGATCAGACCACAGCTAGAGTACTGCAGCCAGTTCTGGGCACCAGAGCTTATCTTTCAGTCCTTGTTACATGAAGATTGCTTGAAAGAAATGGTAATGTTTAGCCCAGAGAAGAAGACTTGGGGAACATGAGAGCTGTCTTGAAGGATTTAACGGGTTGTTATGTGGAAAACTGGATTAAACTTGTGCTTGTTCTCAGAAAGCAAAATGAGAAAAAAATAGAGAGAATTTGCAAAAAAGTTAGATTTTGGATTGGTGTGCTTAGGAGAGTAACCAACTTCATGATTTCTTTTAATTTCATTTATATGTGACAGGATGTCAACTGCCCACTGGTGGGTAAGGAACTCTCCAAATTTCCTTTACTGGTCCCCTGGAGAATTTAGCTTCTCCCATTACTAAAGGAGGGGAAGAGAGAGAATTAGCTACAAGATAGAAAGTCACATGAGATGGGAAGTGGAGGAGGCAGCAGAAACAGGTGCAAGCAGGCATAGGGGGCTGCTACCACTGTAGCATCACCCTTCCAGCTTAGAACAACTCTGTTTAGGGCAAGCTAAATTGGAAAAACCAAGAGAAAGGCTGTTGCTTCTTCTGCTTTGCCAGGCTTGAGAGTGGGTAGCTGGTAGAAGCCTTTCCAGAGACTTGGGATGGAGAAATGGAAGATGAGGAGAGGAGAAAGAGAGAGAAGTTGCAATGGAAGTAGTTGCGGAGCTAGAGCAATGAGGTTGCCAGAACCAGAGTCTGGGACCAAGAAGCGTATTAGGGTAGATAGGAGTCTTGCTTAATTCACCCTCATGGGAAGATCCGAGTTAGCAATTCTATTTTCCTTTTCCCTTGTCCTTCCTTAGAAGGGCATATATTTTATATACCCATATTCATGTCTAATGGTAGCCATCTCTAGGACTGGGTGGATGGGAAGAAAGACAAGAAAGGTAAAAAAAGGAAATTTATGCAATAACTTTATCACATATTTAAAGGGACTAGCATGGGGGTGGGGAACCTCTGGCCTCGAGGCCGCATGTGGCCCTCTATGTCCTTGGGTGCAGCCTTTTGACTGAGTCCAAGTTTTATAGAACAAATCCTTTTATCAAAGGTATTCATTACGTGAAGTTTGGATTTAGTGAAAGGGCCACACTTCAGGACCTAGAGGGCTACATGTGTCCCCAAGGCTGCAGGTTCCCCACCCCTGAAATAGCATGTTGTATATAATATATTTGCAGTTTCATGTACAAGGAATATTTTTTTAAATTATTATACTGTTTTATGGAAATGCTTGTTTTATTCCATAAAATTAAAAATGAAATAAATAAAAATTTTAAAAAGGGCATATATTTGTTCCAGAGCTTTTCTCTATTTCTTTATTGTGTATGCAATCACACATATATGTAGAGGTATGTGTGCGTGTGTGTGTGCATACACCAGCAAACATTTAATAAGTACCTACTATATGCCAGCTATATTATTATATGCCATATGTAGCCAAATGGTGGGGATACAAAAAGAGGCAAAAAACTATCCTCTGGTAGCTTATTTTCTAATGTACATAAACATGTATATGCACACATACATATACTCATATGTGGTGTATATTTGTGCACGTATGTGTGTATACACACACATGCACACGCATATGCCATATTCCTTAGTGTTTAGTACTTAGTACCTGACACACAGTAGGCACTTAATAAGTTTTTATTGACTAACTCATCATCCTGCCTTCAGTCATACAAGGTTACGTTTGGCTATTTTTGCATCAGTTACTATATTGCATTATCCTTACATGTAGAAGATGCTAAATCTTGTGTTATCTTGACTGTGGCTCCATGATATTTGAATTATTTCTTTCTGGCTGCTTAGAACATTTTCGCTTTAACCTAGGAACTCTGGAATTTGACTATGATATTCTATGGAGTTTGCATTTTAGAAGCTCTTTCAGGAAGTGATTGATGGATTCTTTCAGTTTTTATTTTGGGGCAGTTTTCCTTGATAATTTCTTGAAATATAATGTCTAGGCTCTTTCTTTGCTAATGGCTGTCAGATAATCCAATAATTCTTAATTTATTTCTCCTGGATCTATTTTCCAGATCAGTTGTTTTTCACATTTTCTTCTATGTTTTTTTCATTCTTTTGATTTTGTTTTATTGTTTCTTGATGTCTCATGGATTCATTAGCTTCTACTTGGCCAATTCTAATTTTTAAGGAATTATTTTCTTTGGAGATTTTTTTAAACCTCTTTTTCCATTTGGTTAAAATTTTGTTTTTTAAGGAGTTCTTTTCTTTAGTAAATTTTTATACCTCCTTTTCCATTTGGCCTATTTTGCTTCTTAAGGAGGTCTTTTCTTCAGTGAATTTTGTGCCTCCTTTATCAGTAGGCCAATTCTACTTTTTCAGATGTTATTTTCCTCTGTATTTTTTGTGCCTCTCTCACCAAGCTGTCCTCTCTTCACAATTTTCTTGCATCACTCTCATTTTTTTTTCAATTTTTTTCTCTACCACTCTTAACTCTTTCTTTAACTCTTCCAGGAATTCTTGTTGGCTTGGGTACCATTAGCATTTTTCTTTGAAGCTTTCCTTGTAACTGTTTTCACATTGTTGTTTTCTTCTGAGTTTATTTCTTGCTCTTTTCTGCCACTATAGTGGCTTCTTATGGTCAATTTCTTTGTTGTTGTTTGCTCATTTTTCCAGTCTTTTTTTTTTTTTGTACTTTGAGCTTTTTTTAAAGTTGGGCTCTACTTATCTGGGGATAGGAAGACACTGTCTCAAGGTTCAGGCTATTTTATGCTACTGTTTTCAGAGCTCGTTCTGGGAATGTGCAAGTTTTTGGTGCTTCCAAGGTGGTGTGATACTGGGTTAGGTGTGGTCACTGCTTTCCTGGTATGTGCTGTAAAAGATGGAATATTTTAAAATAATGCTGAATAGTACAAAATATTTTTGCTCTCATTAAAGTATTAATACCTTTAGAGAGCAATATAATTGATTATACTTCCTTATTTTTGAGAATCTTCCTTAAGTACTTTGAGATAATTATTCAAAGGTGTTTTTATAAATTCCACTTATTCTGACATTCAGTTATTAACTATCATAAGTAAAATAAAGATACCTATAATGGGAATTGTTGTTTCAATATTTTAAGCAATGGGTTCAAACCTAATGAAATTTTTCCTTTGAAAGATTTTTAAATAGGTTACACATTTTTGTTTCAAGGTTCTTTAAACATGCAGATATAATGCCAGGGAGATCCATTTGAGTAGCAGACTGTGGTTCATTTACCTGTCCTCTCCTTTCTCCATTTGGGGAGTGATGGTTCCTGTTCCTAAAGAGAGTCCTGTATTTATCTTAAGACTGTTTGTTGGCAGGAACCCTACATTCATTGCACTTAATATATATTTGTTGAATTAAATTTAGTAGTGGAGGGAGTTCTAGAATTGGAATCAGGAGACCATGGTGCAAAATCCTGTCTCTGATATTTACTAGCTATACCTTTTAGAGCAAGTCATGTAACCTCCTTAAGCCTCATTTCCCTCTTATATAAAGTAAGGATTATAGTGTCTGCATTATGAATCTCACAGCATCTTGTAAGCTTAACAGTGCTATCAAAATGGAAGGTGACTTATTATTAAGTATTTGGATATAGCAATCATGTCTCTCCCAAATTATCCCTTCTCCAGGTTAAAAAAAAATTCATTTTTTAATCTCTTCTTTTATGGAATGGTTTCAAATCCACTCACTCATGGTCACCTTCCAGCAAGTATGCTTCAGTTTGTCAATATTTGTTTTTGACAAATCTGTATTTGTCCTTTCTACTTCCCAGGCAG